ATGGTGCGTCTAAATGTTTGGGGACGAAATGTGTCCCTAGTTCAAAGTTCAAGAACGAAAAGTGGATTTTTCCCATTGATTAATAGACAATCCTTGGGTAAATATGTTCTGACAATACAACCCTTACTAGGCCTTGTTTCCCAAAATACGCCTTTCTATATCATGTTTTTTTGGCACAATGTTATAGATTCAGTCTTAAAAAGTTGATACAGATATGACAAATGCTGTTGGAGCATATAAAGGCGTTTCTATCTTTGCATAGCAATTTCAAATAGCAAGGCGATGAGATGATCTAAATTATTTGTTGCATTCAAAATATATCAAGTCAGTACAACAATCGTAACTCAAATTTGTTAGGAATATGAGCTTAGAAATAGATTTAGTGAATAGAGTACGTAATTTTTTTTTAAATTTTGAATGGTCTTACTCGAGCTTCATCCTTTCTCACCTTTCCTGTTTTATATATTTGCAATTTCAAATACTGTGGTTATAAGGTTAATAAGGCTATCACAATATTACAAATCACACAATGCTGAGCACAAGGTTATAATTAAAATGAAAATGGAGAAAACTTGTTTATCCTGTAGTTCCTTTTGAGACCTTCTATGCAACTTTTCAAGTAAGAGATTTCATTTAAAAGGGGACAAGAATATGGTTAAGGTAAAAGCCAGCCACTTTTGCAGAAACTCAAAAACTATACGAGCTAGGAGATAAATTTAACACATTGGAACGTGCATGGGCAGGCTATATTATACACGTAAAATATGTGTGCAAGAAGAAGAATAAAATCAGGTTGTTTTAATTAAACAACAAAAGCAAGACTCAGTGCTTCTTTCTTCTCAACTAACTACATTAACAAAGTACTCTACAAACTTATTGAAGAAACAAATAACACAAGATTTTTCCAAATGCAATAATTAACACCAGATAATAAATTAAGAAAACCACAAAAAGCTTGTCCTGAACAAAACTTGATACAAAGAATTGTATTGGTTTAATATGCTAACATCTTTGACCTTCAAATTCACAAAGAATGTCAACTCTGACAAATTCTCGTAAAAATCCAATAAGTTGAGCGTGGTTTTACAGGAATTATAGGGTTTATTTTAGTGTCATATATCATTAAAACTTGGCAGAAGCATGTTTGGCCATTTTGTTATCTCTCTAATTGTGTTGTTTACAAAGCACTTATCTGAGTAATTTCCTGCTAATCTAGTGAACAAGTTTAATATTATCTCTAAAAGGCACTTATATATTTTCAAGGCTCAAATACAAAAAAAAAAAAATAAATAAAAATCAAAGTTTGGAGTGGACCCTGCCGAAAAAAATAAAAAACAAAAAAAGTTTAGAATGGAATTCTAGTTCTTTGCCAATTTGCCTCCAGAAAATATCAACTGATTGTAAATCCAGCATATACAGTTAAGGATCGAGAATGAGATGTCTTTTATTTATTCATTTTTATATGGATAAACGTCATTTCAGAGTAGCCTTTTCAACACGAGCTTCTCCTGGAAAGGAATCCCCAAAACTTGCTATAAAATCCGGGGGCCACACTACAATAATTTAGGCTCAACTTGGACGTTTCTACAAAATCAGGATCTAGCAATCCAAAATCTGGGTTTGACTTGGACATTTACGTATCTGAAAGAAAATAAAAAAGCTACTTAATTTTTCAAAACTAGTTGAGTATTAATGCTCATTTTGAAGACAAGAAAAATATGTTGAAATGTAAAAATATGTCATGCTTCACACTTACAGTTCCTTTTATTGCCTTCCATAGCCGTTTTTTGAAGACAAGGGAAAATAATTATGTAGAAAGAACAATGATGGTGCTCTTTCCATTTTTTTTTTCTTTTATTCTTTTTGTGCTCATTCAACTTTATATCCATGCAATATAATATACATAAGGTACTGCTGTCTATTCTGTTTATTCAATCCTCTTGTTCATCATTTAACAAAGTGTAAATAAAACTAAAAATGATGAAATATTACATTTTTGTAAATATGAAAAAGAGATTTTTATTAAGTGTATATAAATCGCCTTTTTTTTTCCCAAATTTTGCCTGATTTCACCAATCTAGGGTGGAAAAGACTTCTTTGGTTTCCCTTGTTTGGTAATCAAATTGACTTGCACATACCTGGATTTTCATCTCGGGTAAAGACACGATTTGGTATTGGAGTTGAAGTCAAGCAGTTAGGTTATTGGCTAAATAGGTGAATTGCATCTCTATTTTATAAAAATGCCAATTTTAAACTGACCTATTTTTGTTCATATTTTCACTTTTAAGCAGATATCCCAGTTTAATGTAACTCAAAACAAATTCAAAATGAAATAGGAAAGTTTAAAAAAATCAATGATATGAAAAAGGGAACCTAAATGAAGTCTGCGTGCAACATAAGTCATGATTAACTATGTGTTTTTTTTTTTTTTTTTGCTATATGTTGAAAAAACCTAAGTGACATATATTGAAAAGCTTTATACAATGAAACATCATGGTTTAATTTAAAAAGGGGCAGGACAATTTTTGTTAATCTATTTCACTACGCATTGTTTATGGATAAAGTAATGCCTAGCGTTCAATTTTGACATATTATGGAGTGTATCATGTGCTCAGAAATAGCATCTTGTTTCTCAATTTTTTCTTGTTGCTTTTGTGACATTGCTTGAATAAAATTTCCATCTTTTTTATGGAATCAAGTTGATTACTATATTTATAGTTTTTCCATTTTATTTCTTTATTCTTTTTGTGGGTAAGTAAGTTTCACCATTTTATATTTTTGCATCAGAAGGAAAATGCAAGGTGAGAAGGAGAGCTTTTTACGTTATGTTTCAATTGAATGAATTCGATAAGGGTAGAATATGCCCTAGGTAGAAATGCACTTGATACATATTTCCTGCAAGCCGGCAAGAACAATTAAGGAGCAAGAATGAAATGTACTCCTTATTTTATTTTTTATTTGGTTGGGGGGATGACATCTCAGAACTCCTTATTGTTAACTTGAGTGTTTAATGGACTTACTACCATAGACAGGACCCGGAAGTTCATCTTAAGGGGGCGAATTTGAATTTATCTAAACTTATATGTATGGCATAAAACATTTTTAAATTTTGTGGGGGCAAAAATTTAAATCTATAAAGAATGTTCTTAAAATTTCAAGGTTTTGCAAGGAATGAAAACTGAATTCTCTAAAACTTTTGGGGGTGGGGCCCCTTCCCTCCCCACTGCTTAATACAGAATTCGGAAGCCACAATCCAATTATTTAGACTCAACTTGGCATTAGTACAAGGTCCGGAGATAGCAATGCAAAATTCTCGCAGTAACTTGGACGTTTTACGTCTCTGAACGATTCTAAAAGCCAATTATAAATATGTTTCCAACTGTCCAACTTGTGGTTAGAAATTGAATGGGGGTATGTATCCAACGAACACACTTAAACACCTAATAAGTGCTTTAATTGAAAGTTTCACTACATCAAAGTGCCTTCGATAAATCACTGCAACTTCAAACGAGCACTAAGTGAACCAAGATGTGCCTACTTTAGCCTGACGCTCCCCGAGGATGTGTTTGACATGATATCTGGAAATAGTGGAACAGAAAGGCTGGACTTAATGAGCTCAACAATGGAGTCATTTACTCGGAATGATCTCGTCAACACACCATCGGGAACACTAGGCGTGGAATTGAAGAGAGCATGAGCCATATACTGAGTTGCTGGTTGTTGACTGTTGTAGCCGGCATAAAGGAGAGCCCTTCCCTCCCCAACATTGTATACAAAGTGCACCAAAGCCTGAGGGATCACAACCAACATTTTAGGGGTCATAGTCTTATAGAACAAGATATTATCAGTGGTTATAAAGCCTGCAATGACTTTCCCCTTCATCAATAAAAGCATCTCAGTCGCCCGGGGGTGTGTGTGAGGGGCTGCAACTCCTCCTTTGAGAAGCTGTATTTGAATCATGGCTACTCCGAGAGTGTTTACCGCCGGGAAATAGTCAACATGTGCTCCGGAGGCTTTCATTCCATCGGCATCGAACTGTCTGGTATCGTTGATGAACCCTTCGTAGAAGAAGTCGTCTGCAGTTACATTATCAGGGTTTTTGCAAGGATAGCCATTCAAATATATATCTGAACTTAAATCCGCGATGCAGTAATCTTGTAATGGAGATGGATCAGCACCATAACAAGGCATTACTAGTGATAGAAGTACTATTATGAAGAACATGAGAAGGTGAAGGTAGGAAAAGGACTTGGCCATGTATACAGCTTATATGTGTCTGCTACTGTTACTTAGCCCTCTTAAGTCTTAACCGATGCAGGTGCTTAGCGCGCCCGCACTCCATATTTATAAGATTGGAAATTTGAAACTAAAGCCGCCAATCAAAATCGATCCATTGCTCGAACGTGCATGCACGCGCGCACCAATAAAATTTGGTCAAAACTAACGGTCATTCTTGCCTAGGTAGGATTCCTGGTCATTGCCACAACGGTCTTCCAAGGTACATTTCAATTTTCAACTTAGGTACGTTGAAAATATGGAGGATAGAAGCATCTTACCAGCACTTGGCCGGAAGGACAGGTAACATTATGCAAATATACTAGTTGTTACAATCATGATTCTTGTTATCTAACTGGAAATATTTTAGGGAGTTTTGAGAAAATGGAGGATGATACTTTACTGGTAAAATTATGTAAATATAATAATAGTTACAACCATGATTCTTGTTAGGAAAAATCGCTAATTTAGTCCCTAAACTTTTTAACTAATTCCGATTTGATCCTTCAAAGTTTTTTTATACGCAATTGGTCCTTAAAGGAAAATGTCTGTGCCAAGAAAGGACCTATTAGGCGGTGCCATCCAAAATATCTTTTTTCTCGCCTACATGGGAGGCCATTTAGGGATATTTTAGGAAGAAAGTATTGGGGCACTTTTACTGACGAAATACCAGAAAGATAGCACCATGGGGAAAATGCCTAGTGGACCATAAGAGAGCCGACGTTATGCCGGTTGCTATTGAAGATTTAGGCAATGCAAAAAGCTTTCGGGCAGTTGGAGAAGACGGTGCCATTCTAGACGAAGGTTCTATGGGCCAAGGAACTTCAGATGAATATTAAATGGCGAGACCCAATTCTGAAAGTGATGAGGAGATCGTACTTGGCTTTCAAGTTTTGAAGGATGGATTCTAATTTTGAAAAGGACTTGCCGAGCTATGAGATGTTGCCGATGATTGGGATGGTAGAGGGTCCTGGAGGGAGCTTCTCTTTGGTGTTGTTAGAGGAGGAGAAGGAATAGGGGGAAAGCATATTAAAGAGGGATTTAAAGATTGCAGAGATGCCAAGGGACAAGACAAATGGAAATAGACACCAACGGAATATTGTAGCATCCAGTCCAATGACTCTAACCAATTCTCTGGCCTAGAGAACATGATAGAACTTCTGGATCCCGCTGTTTGATCCAGAAACTTGTGGCATCATTCGAGAAAGAGTTGTCCGAATCAAGAAGATGGTTTCAGGAACGCCCACCGCGGTAAAGAAGAGGAATTCCCAAGACTCGGTGTCTATTCTCGAAAATTTCGAGGAAAAATGCCCCCCGGGTGGTGAAAATGCGGTGGTCCTCTATACGACCACGCTGAGGGGTATAAGGAAGACATTTGAGGATTGCAACACAGCCAGATCAGTGATCGAGTCGCATCAGGTTCAGATGTTTAAGCATGATGTATCGATGCATTCAGGATTCAAGGATGAATTGAGGGGATTAATGGGCACAAAAGAAGTGAAGGTTCCCTTGGTTTTTGTCAAGGGAAGATTGATTGGTGGGGCTGACGAGACAGTGAAGTTGGAGGAAGATGGTAAGTTAGGCACTGTTTTCAGCGGGATCCCGAAGGCAGTTGCTATCTGCAATGGGTGCGCAGTGGTCAGGTTTGTAATGTGCATAGGTTGCAATGGTAGTTGCAAAGTGTTGGATGAGAAAGGGAAGAAGACTGTCAAGTGCAAGGAGTGCAATAAGAATGGGTTGATTCAATGTCCCTTCTGCTAACAAAAAAAAAAAAAATTGGACTGAGATTCCTAACAGCTATAACGTGATCAACATAACAAGGCAACAGGCTCGAAACAGAATTTCGCCTACTAAAACTACCATACTTCAGTCCTCATGTTAACTTTTACGATGAGTTTGGCCCTCTATTCTCTCCAAAGCCAACAATGGTGGAGACAAAACGAAAATTGTATTGCATACGTTTGTAGGCACGGCGGCGGGGTTTCTTGTTATCTTGCTTTGCGACCTTGGGAGTAAAATAGTGTCTTTTATCTATCAAAGATTGATTGCCAATACAAATTCTTTGTACTGAGAAGAATAGTTGTATACAATAGGTCAAGGAATTTTGATCTTAAAATTTACAAAGTACTTTAGAATTCTCATCTCTGAAGTTATCACACAATATGGCGTCAAACCATCCAAAGGAAGATGAACAAAGAACTCCCACCGTTATTCTCATATCAATACAATCCATGTACTCCTAAAAACTTTTAAGGATGTGTTTGGTTCTATGTACACAAGAAGACTAGCTCTAGCGTGTACCTTGTACCATGTATGGAAATCAAGTAACTTATAGTCATTTTACAGAAAAGAGTTGAGCTTAATGTACAAATTATTTCGGCTATTATTAGTGATGTTCCTGGACCGGTTGGGTCTTACAGGGGAATAACTAAAACGAAGGACAACTAGGACCTGGTAATGGCATGGAGTGGGTTATATCTCATAAATGGTTTAAAAGTGGTTGGTTTTTCTATGTTTTCTGTTGATAGATATAAGCAATAGCTAGAAATGGAATTATTCATGTGTTATGTCTAAGTATCCTGCCTAATTTGTACAATCTTATTGGCTATATCAATAAAGAAGATCTTTTGCCCCAAAAGAAAAGTATGTTTACTTCCTCTTCCTTGAGAGGATTTACTGGGTCATTTTTTAACATATATTTGCATGAAAATTTGCCTTTTACACTTTCATGTTATTTTTTTTAATGATTACGATTCTGATGATGAATCCCTTGTTTGTTGCAGGAGTGGTGACTTTGGTTACTTGTTTCTGGAGTTGTAAGAGTGGTTTGTGAGTTATGATATTAATCACAGCATAATACTGAGTTCAGCTAAAATGTCTATGTCAGGATTCTTTATTTGGTTGGACTGTCGAAGATATTAAATAACCTGGTTAGGTACTCAAAATCTAAACTTGTTCAAATGCTCCACATCAAGATTCTACCTTTGCTGAGGACATTTAGCATTGGCTTTAAAGTTGTGAGGAAGAGAGATAATTCAAAATGGTCCAAAATAATTCTTTGATTTGTTTTCATCGGATAATTTTCATCACATGGTACTTTTTTTTTGTGTGATCATGCTGGACAGTCTACTCGTTGTGGATTGTTAAAATTCAGGAATCAGACTTTTGACAAATATATATTCATTTAGTGATACTTGTTCCTGAGAAATTCACTCGTTGCTGCGCAAGGCTAAAAATAAATTAGCCAGCATGATTTTCTCTTCCACAATCTAGATACTACTATTGTGAATTTTGCATGGTGGAATTTATTGTGCCACGCAAGATTAATCAATCTAGAAATTTTTTTTTTATGGAACACTAAGGGTATGTTTGGTTCCCCATGAAATTGGGGTTTAGAATTGGAATTGGATCCCCAATTCTAATTCTTATGTTTGGGTACTACCTTTCCTATAGAATTAGAATCAAATTGCAATTCCATATCGATTGAATTCCATGGTTCCAATTCTTTGGCTAGACCAAAGAATTCCAATTCCAGTTCTACGGCCAGATTTTCATTCGGCTCAACTCACGGACTTTAAACGGGTAAAAACTCAAAAACGGGTCAACTATAAAGTTGGATTAAAAAAAAGACAAAGCTGGCTTCTTTCTCTGTCTTCTTAAGTGAATCGCCATCTGCTCTAACATTCTCTGCCGCCGCCGCTGCCTCCTCCTTGTCCCTGCACCTCTGCCATAGCCCCTCCAAGCCTTTCCTCCCTCTTTTCCTCCCTCTGCCCAACATCAAGTGGGTGAAATTTACAAATTGAGTTATATTTTGGTCTCCTTTCTGTCGTTTCCTATCTATCTTGAATTATGCCTCCCGCTTTTACCTTTGCTGCCGCTTCCATTGCCGTCACCACCATCGCCGTCGCATCCTCTCGTCCTCACTCTCCTTCCGCTCCCTCAATTCTCAATTCTCGACAAATTTAGGGTTTATGATGGTATATTCACGTTTAAATTTTTGCCAATCAAAGATTGATTTTTTTTTGGTTGTTCCTCTGATAATGTTTGGCATTAATGTTATAAATTTACTACTATTTTTTTGCTTCTAATTCAACGTTGGGACGAGGATAGAAAAAAAGGTAGCACTCTGTTGCCCTATTCTTCTTTATTTCATTTTAATTAGTTAATGTGGTCCTAGTTTTTAGAGATCATGAGCTGATAACAAAAATTCCAGCTAAAACCCATCTTCTGCTTAATGCTTACCACAACTACAGGGGATCATGTTTTATCATTTTGTTCTACCTCTTCAGACTTCATTTCCCTAATGTATTATTCTTTTTGTGACTATTGGCCCTTTTCTTATTTACGAAGAGGCTTGTGATCAGTTTTACTTGTCAAGGTATTGAAGATGCTTCTCAGCATTAAAATGATATACCGGCAGTAAACGGTCCATGGTAAATGAGTGCTGCGATTTCTGTTATCAGCTCATGATCTCTTAAGGCTTATTTCTGTTATGCTGCGATTTGTTTTATTCTTCTTTTGCTAAGTTATGAATTATGATAACCAGTTTATTTCTTACATCAGTTATTAAGCTAGCAGATCGATTTAGCCTAAAATGACGGTAATAAAGAAGCTAGCAAATCATTTGTTGGATACAGAAAAGAAAGCCCGATAAGTATGAGTCTCGTCTTCATTTGCATTCCATATTCAATTTGTCTAAACATGCGATTGTCCCACAAAGTTATTTCTTCTTTTGCTGGCTAAGAATGTCCATTTTGCTTGTAAACACGTGATTGTTGACTTTTACATTTTTGCTGGACTGATCATGACCTGTACTTTCTTTAGGTGAATTGTGAGGTAATTTGCTTTTATCATTTGAATCTTGCTTTCAGGTCTCTCAGTTTGCGACTTAAAGGTGCAAAACATGTTGTATATGGCTTGATGTTTGTTTGGTGTCGATAGACAACTAGACCCTTAAATATAGCAGCAAGTTGTGAGAATCTATGATCTTCAGCATTCTTTGCAAAAGGTCGAAGAAGCTCTCTTGTAGGGACTGGAGCAACTTCACTTGTACAACCATGAACCATGTAATTAATATCAGATTATTTCACTGGATTTACATATGTGTTTATGCATGCGGATTTGTGTACGTTTGGCTGCACACCTTTCTACTGATAATATTCTCTTTAAAAATCAACGAATTGCACAAGATGACATATTTATGGTTTGTTGGCAACAAGTGATGCAGGTTTTTGTTCAAAACTGTTCTTGAAGTTTTGGGTCAAACGTGTCTGCATGAAAAAGGCATGTTAATGTGGTCTTGTTAAGAGATTCTTTAGACTTCATACTTTCTTGTTTTTATTTTGTGAATAGTTACTTTCTTGTTCATTATTGTCCAGAAGCTTTACTTGCATACACAATGAACTTTATCTTGTTCTCTTACATACCCCAATTAGTTTTTTATCTAATATAATTTAATTAAGAATAAAGGAAACAAGAGTAATACTATTTTTTTTTTGTAGAAAAGGAACTAATTGGTTTTTTTCTTTAAAGCTTTAATAACAATTGGTTAAATGCAAGAAAAAAATAAATTATTAAAGGCATTAATTGATTTTTTCCTTGAAACTTTAGTAACGATTAGCTAAATGTTTAAAAAATTATTTCACACGAAAAAGGAAAAAAGAAAATTTTTATGTAAGCAAATGTTAGATGGAAACAATTCTAATTCTTAATCAATTCTTCTCGCATCCAAACAAAGAATTTGGAATTCCAAATGAATTTTGTATCAATTCTATGCATTTCCCAAATAAAAGAATTCCAACGTTTTGGAATTCCAATTCCTAGAATTCTAATTCTATAGAATTCCAATTCTAATTCAATTCCAATTTTGTAGAACCAAATGCACCCTAAGAATTATTAATCTAGAAATATTTCAGTATTTTAGTTGAATTTTCACGGGCCATATAGTGTAAATTGAATATTCGACTAAGGTGGCTGTCACAGATGGGAATTGAATTATTGTTTCTTATACTATTCCAGTTCTATGAAACCAACTGTTCTATGGTATTGTCAAGATAAGATCTTATAATCATGCTGCGGGGTTACAATCTTCAAGGGCTGTTCTTACTATCTGATGGTATTGTCATATTAAGATTTTTTTAGGGCCCCGCAACTATTCTATGGTGGGCTTGCTAGGATTTCTATTTTGCAAGTAGTCGTATCTGAAGAACGCAAAAAAGATTTTTGTTAGTGCCAGTGGATTTCGTTTTTGGTTAACTTGATTCCTGGCTTCACTTTTATTTACTCTCATCTCTTGAAAGATGTGGCTACCCACTCATCATTACCTTGTTTTCTTACTACTTGCATCAAATTGTTATAATAATGCTGCAATATATTGTGAAAATTTGCAAGTGTCTTGAGTATGAAATCTGGTGGTTACCTTTAGGTGTTGCTTTACTGAGTGGTCTTCTTAGCTGCAATGAAGCAGTGAAACATTTCTTTATAGCTGATGAAATGACTGTTCTCTAATTTCTGTTGTTTTTTCTTCGTGATCTGAAATCTGTTTAATGTTAGTAGTATCCATGGATCAAAGTCTCGGTTGACACCGAGATGACTCGGCCGAGTCGTTATCAGAACGGACCCTTTTGATACGACACCGGAACAAGATGATTCCAAGATACTTGACTCACCAAGAACTCGGCCGAGATGTCTTCGATACGGATAATTTTGGCCGAGTCGACTCGAATCATCCCGAATCAACTCGCAAATTTACATTTTACAGATTTTTTTTTGCTAATTTTTTTTATTATTTTTGTTTAGCATATTTTTGAATATAATTCACAATTTTTAGAATATTAAATATTCAAAATTTACGTATCACCGAAACCGTGACTAGTATGCCAAAACCGATATGAAATGGTTCGAGGCATGACCGCGACCGCGACCACAACTTTGAACCATGGTAGTATCACATTGTCTACACCGATTCCATGCGCTTCCATTTCAACCTGTGGTATGAATTTGGTGTATTACTTTTGGGCAATGTGCAAATGCATGCTTAACCACCAACTTATTTGTCTATTGACGGCAATCATTAGATTCTAACAATCCTATCCGACTTCATCTCCCAAATTTTCTTTTTCTTGAGATAATTCTACTTTTTATTATTTACTAAAAAAAAAAAAGAAAGGAACTTGTATAATTTGAATGGACAAATCATTGGGTTTTCAATAACCTTGTGTAAGTCTCCTCTGTTTTAATAACATATTGAGAAATTTTGGGTTGTATTGCTATATTTTGAGCATCTGAATAAAGCATCATCTTTCGCACTCAAAACATAATCACAACATGGTGATACAATGCCTTTCTTTGAAAAAAGAAAAGGAAAAAGGGAAAGAACAAAGAAGAAGAGCTTAACAATGATAATACCAAAATTTCCAATGTAACAATAATATTTAACATAAAAAAATTTGTGTGTCTTCGGAGAGTCATTGCATGATCCACTCCATGTTGAGTGCAGTGAGGGCTTTCATAAGCTACTTGAAGGATCTCTAATCATCATAATATGAATCACGATAAGTTTCTAGGTTGACAAATGAATTTCTTACAACCGATATGCATCGCACCTTCCTCCACTCTTGTAGATGTGGTAAGTCCATGTAATCTGCATATCTATCAGGATTCAGGATACTACAAAGCAAAATTGACATATAGTGTAAATATTCTGAAAGTAATTGCCTTAAACTAATGGAAAAGAAGGTATTGCAAAAGTTATTCAAGATAAACCTTGAAATTCCAAATGAATTCTAATTTTGGAAAGGGATAATTTCAGAAACCTCCCTTGAGGTTTCTAATAATTTCACTCAGCTCCCCCCAATTTTAGAAAATTACATTGATCTCCCTTGCTTTTACTATTTAAGTAACATTATAGACCCATTAGACTAGAATTATACTTAAATATCCTAAAATACCATTATGAAATATCATAACATCAAAAGAAAGTGAAAAAAAGGTTTAGTGATCAATTTAACACCAAAAAAAAAGTAACAAATACTTTTATCCAAATTTGCTATGCTTCCATGATAATTGTAAACCTAAAACCTCATCAACCATTCAAGCAAACTCCAAGTTAATTCCCAGATTCTATCAATTTTGGTATCACTAAAATCCCAAAATGTTACCAAAATAGCACTCCAACTTAATCCCCAAATTCTATCAATTTTGGCATCATCAAAATACCAAACTCTACCCGAATCACTTTACAAATAGACCATAACCACCACCACCAACTAAAATATCCTCAAAAGCTTCTTGTCCCAAATTAACACTATATTTTGTCTATTGGCTAATCTCACACCTCAAATTATGAACCCAACACCTATCGCATATCACCTTCCTTCAACAGAAGATCTAGCCAACCGCTATTGATGTCTATGCCAAGAGCAACCTCGTACTCCAATGGCATCAAGAACAGAGAAACTAATCTTTATGACGAACCACCACCAATACTTGTAAATCAAACAAAAATGAAACTAAATGAAGATATTAGATTCTAGTGTGTAATAGACATAATAGCATAACCCAAAGTCATCCATTTTTCTCTTCCAACCATAGCCCATTAATTTCATTTTTTTCCTCTCTATCACAACCATCTTCATCATCTCCATCTAATTTGACAGTGAAATTTCATTTGCTCTATCAATTTGTAATTTTGGAAATTTTGATTCTTTAATATATGCAAATTATAACATGAGAAGAAATAAACAAGGGGGCTGATAGTTAAGTACTACAGAAAGAGAGAAATAGACAAGAAATAAACACTTCGGGTAGGTTTGCATGGTGGTGTAGTTGATGGGTGGAAGAGACTGTGGGGTTATAGGTAGAAAGGAAAGAATCATAAGAGATAGAAAAAAAGGGAGGGAAAGAGAAAAGAAACTGTTGTTAATTAAAGTAGGGTTAGGGATGATGACGAATTGTTACAGGTTTTTATATTTTCTTTTACTTTTGGTTTGGTTTTTGTATCCCACATATGTGGTAAATTATCTATTAAGTAGAGGATATTGCAGTCATTTTATTGAATCGAGGGAGGTTAATGTAATTTTCTAAAATTGGAGAGAGCTAAGTGAAATTGTCAGAAACCTCAAGGGTGGTTTCTGAAATTATCCCTTTTGGAAAATAAAAAGCTTATGCTTAAGATGTTAGATACTATAGGTAAAGATGTCAAGAACTAGAAGGCTAAGGGCAACACAAGGGAGAGAAGAAGTGTAGCTAGGATCAAACGACAATTTTTTCTTTATTTTTTTAAGTATTACAATGTTATTCTAAATGTTTTTTGTCATATTACTATATGAACTGATGAAAGAGTAAATAAACGTAATTCAATAACCAATAACAATGATAGTAATAGGAATTAAATTAGCCAGAATGTTTTGTCAAATGTCATAGCCAACAACATTCTGGCAGTTAACAACACAATCAAAAGCTGTACTGTCATGGATGAATTGACTATAGTAACACTTTTTCAACCAAGAAAAAAACCTTGGTCATTGTTTAAAATTTATGGTCCAGTTTATAATAAGAAGGAAATAGGAGAAAAACATAAGTTCAAGGACTCAATTTTACTGAACTGGCCTTGTAGGTTAAAAGTGCTTTGTGTCCAACTATTCTTTGGGAGGGCATATTAATTTTTTGCCATCATTCATTGTGCACAATGTTTACACAAATTTCTCCTCCTAACAACCAATGTCTGCTGAGGATCGAATTTTATCCCCATAACACTACCCAAAACTGCCAATTCTTCCATCACCACCTTCTGATCATCATCATCATAACCAGCCTTCTTCTTCTCAATGCTTTTCACTATCCATTTCAAGCCATCATCATTTGCATTCTTCATGATTTAACATTCCAAGATAGTCGACCCTAATGTTGAATCTGATCGTATCTTTTAGTTCAAACCACTCGCAAAAATCTCTCAAGTACATGAGAACTTCTTTATGTCTAGGAAATCTCCTATTGTCTCTCCCCTCCCGCACTCTGAATGAAAAATCCATAAAACCCATGGTTTCCCTAGGAGAAATAACCTGTAAAGATGCATAAATGCTACTATGGACATTTAGGATAGGACACTTTCCTAAAGGATCCTCGTCTTCAATATTTGGATGGTAATGCCATTGCCCTCCAATATCATGATTTTGTTCAAGAACTACCACACCATGCCCTTTTTTTCTTAGCTCCCTAGCAGCCACTAAACTTGATGGACCTGCACCAATAACACACACATTTTTAGAAGTACATCCCTCCGAAATCATTT